GGACTTTGCGGACAATGTAGCCTTACTCGCACCAACGCTCCAACGCACACAGACAGCATCGATCTCCGCCAAATGATACACAAGCAGTTGTTTTTATAACATCAGGGTATTATTTATGACGCCCCCTCATGCGTCAAAGCAGATACAATACATGCATACGTTTCTGTTGGGTCTGTGTTTCCACAAGCCCCGCTAATTCTAGAGACTTATTCATCATGAAGAAAACAAGACAGTCGATCGATCGATTATTTGCGCAAGGGAGGCCTCGTCTGTGTCCACCACGAAAATGACCCCCAGATCTGACCTCCTCCTGCTACCTTTTATTGAGAGACAGTTCACACAAAACACGTCAGAACAAAGCCACGCCCACATGGTCCCAAGATGTGTGAACTTCTGTATTTATGTAAGAGTGTGTGTGTGTGTGTGTGTGTGTGTGTGTGTGTGTGTGTGTGTGTGTATGTGTGTGTGTCAGACCTCCTGCTGACCAAAGGGTCAGAAAAGAAGCAGGTCTTCCAGATAGGATGTATCTGCAATAAAACCTCCCCCAGCACAGAGTGGTTGGAGAGGTGGTCAGGATCAAAGGAATGGCTTTGATCCTACTGCTTGAACTAAGACTGTACAAATTTAAGAAACATAATGGCAACATTCAACAATTAGACTTAACAGTTTCGAAACCACAAATGTTCTGTTGACGACTTTTGACACATTTAAAAGGACATCTTCTCCTCCTCGAGGCCAGGTGCTTCCTATTAATCTTCTAACTCTCGCTAATCTCCTGGAACAAACTGTCCCTTAGGCAGACACAATTTTGCAGTCACAAGCTTTTGCAAACTATTATTTGAACTCTTACCTAAACATGAGTCTAACTACTGTTCGTGTGTATGTATGTCTCGACCTCAAAATGCACTCGGCCTCACCCCGCCCGTTGACGCTTCTGACCTTTTACCAGACAGAAGCTATCTGTGATAGGTGTAATAATCTTAACTAAGAACATGTGTAATCTATTGAATGAATGCTTTAATGAAATGATAATTAATGTAATGGTAATGATGAAATTATCAGTAAAATATTTCCCTGATCTCCACAGCGGTCACTGTGAATCAGCAGCAGCAGCTAGAAGAGGTGGACAGGTTCGTGTACCTGGGTTCCACTCTCAGCAGTGATGAGAGCATGGTCAAGTGCCAAAAAAATTATTAGGTTGATTTTTGGATTATATTTTACCATGAAATAAACGCCATATATTTTCAAAGAATCAAGTCAGAAGTGCATTCTGAAAAAAACCACCTGTTGCCACCCATGGCCTTTTCTTAGACTATTTTTCTGTTCTGGAACTTAAAAGGCCATGACACTGGCTGTTGATTCATCCTTTGACTTAAAGACACAAGCCAGGATGAGGACCCCCAAAAATCCATGTATATGCATTTGCATGGATATACCCCCAAAACACAAACACACCGTCCTTTTAGATTAATCATTTTGAGAATGACTTTCTGTACTGAGTTGGCCATGACAAGCTCAAAAGCTTACTGTCTGTCACACAAGTCACCATTACCACTATTATTTTGCTATTTTTTTGATGTGATTCTCTTGCTTGGAAGGATATAAATAGCAGTGTTAAAGGTTGGAAATGTGTGTTCAAGAAATATATATGGATTAAATATTGTTGTCTCACTATACTTCATGTTATAGCTGCTTGGCAATACCTAAAAATGCCACTAGGTGACACATAGAGCTCAGGAAGAGCATAAAGCCTCTGCAAGTGCTGCAGAATAAATCCTACAGCCAAAACATGATCTCCTATTTTAATATAATACATAGTTGGAGGAATTCTGTTTAAACCCCTCACTGACACCCACCAGGTCAGGTGGCAACAGCAGCTTAATGGTTTGGTTCATAATCACAATCATTAGATTCGGAGATGAGTTACAGAGCCTGCCAACTTTTTACTTTGGCTGCTCATTTTGTAGAAGTCTGACAGGTGACTATATCATATGTAGCTGCACTTGTTGTTAGGAGTCACTTGCAGAAAACAATGTTCCTGTCAAAAGTCATAATATGACTTGCATTATTGCACTTTACACATGAGATGATTTGATTGGGGTGTGCGTGTGTGCATGATTTTTGGGGTGAAATATATGTTTCAAGTAAAGTCAACGTTTTTGTAAGCACATTTAAAAACAACACAGGTTGACCAAAGTGCTGTACAGCGAAACGAAATCTTTGGGAAGTGAACTTGACCTCATTTTCAGAGGCTCTTCTAACATTTAATGGTTGTGAAAGATGTCAAACCTTTCTCCCCTCCCTAAAGTTAAACAGCTGAAAGCACCGTGAACACAGCGGAGAAAAAGGTGTGCACTGAGGATTTTGAACTATGGCGTTAAAGCGTTGTCACTGCTGAGGATTTGTGGACACAGGAGGAGTGTGGACACAGATCCTTGTTGACTTACAGTGGGGCAAAAAAGTATTTAGTCAGCCACCGATTGTGCAAGTTCCCCCACTTAAAATGATGACAGAGGTCAGTAATTTGCACCAGAGGTACA